ATCCTTCCATCCATCGCAACAGCGGTAGAACATGAATAGCTACTCGTACAACACGCCTCCTGGCCACCCGGCTGCCTACTATCCCTCGTTCAGCGCGACGCCTTCGCCCGCTGCGTCGCCCTCGGGGGGCCAGCACGGTTACTACGCGCGGCCAGGACCGTCCCCTCGACACCACTCTCGGCACACTTCCTCGGGAGATGCGTATAGCTACTCCTCCCCGCGCGGGGCCACCTTCTCCCCGCGGTATAACTCCAGCGGATACTACGCGACTGCTGCCAATGTGAGTCGAGACAAAAGTTCGTATGCGGCTCCGTGCCATTATGAGAGGCGAAGTTCTTACTCCCATCATCGAGCCTCTCCGGGGGAGTCCGACGAGGACGAGTTTGACTTTGTCGACTACGTGGTGGACGGGGTGGTCTACCGCCAGTACAGTCGCCGGCCTGACAAGTCCACCTTTAACTCTCGTGGGCGCGCCACTGACCAGTATTTCTCTCAGGCTCAAGGACACGCCTACAACAGAGATGACTTTGAGGGCACGCCCGTCTACGAGCCGCAGTCGCACTCCAGCAGACGACGGAGGCAATCCTCCTCCTCCTCGACGCCACAGCGTACTTCATCGCGTCCCACCTCCTCCACACCCAAGAAGCCGCCGCCGGTGGCCAAGGCGACCGAGGCCGACGCGCGCAAGCACCGCATCCCTCCCGGATACTCGCTCAAGAATTGGGATCCCTCCGAAGAGCCCATCATGCTCCTCGGCAGCGTCTTCGATGCCAACAGTCTCGGCAAGTGGATCTACGACTGGACCGTGTACCACCACGGACCCGCGACCCCCATCGCCGACATGGCCGGCGAGCTCTGGCTCCTGCTCATCCAACTCGCCGGCAAGGTCAAGCGCGCCGAGGAATGCATGAGCCGCATCCGCACGAAGGAGAACAAGGAGATGGTGGACGACTTCATCGAGTCTGGGGAGCGGCTCACGGACAAGCTGAAGAGGCTTCTCAAGTCCTGCGAAACGCCCATGTTGAAGGCGGGCAAGAAGCACGGGAAGGACTCGGCGCAGCTGGGCAAGAACGCCGGAACCGAGTTTGTCGACTCCATCTTCGGGCGCGACCGCCAGCTCGAGGCGACGGAGAAGTTCATGTCATCGATTCGCCTCTGGAACCTCCGCTTCGACGCCAACTGCGAGGACATTCTCCGCCGACCAGGACAATAGATCCGAACCCAATCGGGCGGGGCGAGGGAAGGGACAACCACACATACACGAGGAACCACACATATACGGGGAGGAACGCGTCGCTATTCATCATCGGGCAGCATTTCATACAGTCTAGGATGATACCCCAACACGCTGATTTTTGTTTTTGATGTCGATTCTTCACGATGGATCGCGGCGGCCAGGTCGGTTGCCAATTTTGGTGTACGAGTACTATAGAGGAAGACGGGTCCACGCCCATCCGGATCAGATCCTGCACGGCATACGGGGCGGATACCAACGGAGCACGCGACGTGGGGCGGGTTTGGGAAAAGTTTGAGCGAGCGCATATCAATTTGGAATTTTTTTTTTCCTGTCTCTCTGTTCCTGACAGAGTAGGCAGCAGCAGCTATCGAACGAACGGACGGATGTTTTTGTTTATGCTTCTTGTTTATTTGTTTTCGCAAGGGGAGGATTGGATGAGCGCGCGTGCATTGAGGTTGGGGGGAGAGGTTCCGCGCTGGGGTTTATAATTGTAATTGTATCTCAAGATTTTCTCGACGACGATGGGTGGTCTGCTTGATACCCCGGTAGAAGAGGGAAGGAGGAAGAAATGAAGATACCCCTATGCTTATCCTGTTCTTTGATTGCGAGTTTAATGAACGCCCCGTAGGGCCAGACAGCCACAGCTCATTTACTACGTCGCAGGCGTAAGTATTACCCCTCGAGGGTAGGGAAAACAGGGGGTTTAAAGTGGAAACTAAACTTTTAAGGCACCCTCGAGGGGTAATACTTAGGCCTGTACCGTGGTAACTACCAGAAGGATCATATTCGGAAGCGAGCGCTGAAAAGATGGCCGAAAGCCTTCCGATTGCAACCTCACCAAGTTTTCCATTTCAATATTCCGATCTCCAACGTCGGTTTCTCTATCTTTTTTTCTTTCTTTCCTTCTTTCTTTCTCACCCTCCCCCTCCTTCTCCCATCCTCGCTCTCCTTCTTTTCCAGGGTCCCTCTCCATCTATCAAGGTGTGTTCCGCGTTGCGTTGCCTTCCGCATTCTGCGTTCTACCCGTACGTAGTAAATCCAAATCCATATCCAAATCCAATGTATGTGTAGTAGTAGTATACGTGCGCGCGTATGGACAGCAAGGCTTACCTTACCTTACTTTACCTAACTTACTCACTTCAAGTTTCTCCCTCTCCGCTTCCACGCTTCCAATGTTCTAGTAGTACGGTAGTACGGTAGTATGTTCAAGGCTCTATGTTCAATATTCAAGGTTCGGTCGGATCTAGGCTCAATGTTCTATGTTCCAGGTTCGGTCGGATCTAGGCAGGCAAGGTTCCTCACCTAAATTAATTCCCGAGCCGAGCCGAGACGAGACGAGTCGGATTGATGGATGGATGGATGGATGGATTGATGCCCAACCTGCTTGCTTGCTGTGAGTGCTACTTCCTAGGTAGTACTTACTAGTACAGTAGTGGTGGTGCGGTACCCTGTCTTGGTTTGTCTTGCTTTGTCTTGGTTTGTCAGGGGGCCTTGTTTTGTTTTTTGTTTTTGGGTTTTGGGTTTGTTTTTGGGTTTGGGTTTGGGTTTGGGTTTTGGGTTTTGGGGTTTGGGTTTTGCTTTTTGGGACTGGGACTGGAGCTGGATTTGGGGCTTGGAGCTGGATTTGGGACTGGACTTGGTTCCCGTGCTGATTGATGGGGCTGGGCTTGGAAATTAGGGAGGGCTGGAGGGAGGGGGGGGGGAGGGGGGGGGGGAGGGTACCGATCGTATTTGGAGATGGGGGGATTTTTTTTTTTTTTTTAGGGATTTTGATTTGATTTGATTTGATTTGGAGGGGGGGGGGGGAGGGGAAATTGTTTGAGGGGAGGTGGATTTTGGAATTTTGGGGGTTGGGTGGGTGGTTGGATGGATGGATGGGGAGATGGTGGGTGATGGATGGATGGATGGGTGGATGGAGGGGGAGATGTTGGGTGATGGATGGATGGATGGGTGGGTGGATAGATATGTTGGTGATGTGTTCGTATGTGTTAGTTGGCTGTGCTCTCTCTGTATGGTTTTACAAGCTCGATGTGGCAGGTAGGTAGGTAGGCAGGTAGGCGGCCTTTCTGTTGATGATAGTAGTAGTAGTAGTAGTAGTACGGTAGAAGATACCCTGGGAATGTATAGTTGTAGCTAGCTAGCTAGGGTTGCAGATGTTGAATAAATGAGTGAGTGAGTGGATGAATGTGAATGAGTGGAGAGTAAACATAGGAAAGAGAGAAATGTAACAAGAAAGATAAAATCAAAACGAAAACTGAAATACGAAACGGATTTGCAGACGGTTTACGGAAAGTGATGGGAGCGGGTTCTTTTGCGAAAATGGAAAAGGAGGACGTGGTGTGAGAGAGTACTCTCCTTCTCTCTTTTTGCTTTTTTTACTTGTGGTTTTTTTTTTTCTGTTGCTCTTTTGGGGGAAAGGAAAATGCGACTAGGATTGGATGATGATGATAAGATGTTTTGTTTTGCTTTGGATCGTCTTACGGAGTACTTCGTATGATGTAAAGACTCCGCGAGGCGGAGAAATAAGCAATAATGTATACATATACATATACATATACATATACATTATATATACCGGTACATACAAATCCCTCTCTCCCTCCTCTCTCTCTCACACATTATTGTCATAGTCCTCCCTCTTCCTTTAATTTTCTTTTCCTTTATGTGTGTAAGTTTGGAAAACGCCCTCTTCTTATTCGCTCACACTTCCTTCTCCCAGCTACTTACGTACATCAACATCACACTTAGGCCTCTATGCATGTGCATATTTCTTTCTCTCCGTACTGCAGCGATGCCCGGCTGGCAGTAATGAATGTATGTTTGTACTACGTTACTTATCTCACTCTGCATCTCTCTATTCTTCTCCTGTCTTCAATACTTTTTTTTCTTA